CCATCTTCCTAATGTAATTTCCTGATTTTTGTGTGTGCTTGTGGTAGAAGTCTGAGGTCAGAAGTGAAGATAGATCAGGGTTTGTCACACGATTCCACTGTCTTGCCCAAATGTTTATAAACTTTGGGTAAAATCTCAGTTCTTGTTTAATAATTTTTTTTCCTTTCCTGGTGGCAGTGGGCAGCTCATGAGATGTGAAAAGTTGACTTAATTCTGGTGTCATATATTGTAGTGTGGCACCCACAGCACTTTACATCTTGATTGACTTATTTTAAACCTTCTGAAGCAGAGTTTTCAAAGTATTTCGTTGTTGATTCACTGCTGGATTATGTTTCCAAACTGTTATTGAGAATAATGGGATTAAAACTCTACTTGTTACATTCAAAGGACAGGGATGCTCCAGCCAGGCTAGGATGGGTTATTTTTGCCTTTTGTGCAAATTATTTGAACAAAACAAATGTGAGAGATTTTATCAGATATGGTTTGAAGCTTTTTGGTTTTCAGTCATGGTTAGTGTCAGCACAGGCCTTAATTAAATTGTAGCCTTTGAGGTAAAATTTATATCTTGGGAAGCATCACTTTGTGTAGAGCTCTAAATCCTCTGGAATTGTTGGTTTGGTAGGGCAGAGCTGTGCTTTTCCATCGGGGGAGCAATCTCCGGGCACAACAACAGTGTGATAGAAGTCATAAATAAACTAATAAATCAGTTCTCAATGGCTCCCACCTCTCAGCTGGAGGTCAGGAAGAAAAGTCACTGGTGGGGGAGCAGCCAGGAGATGTCCCCAAGGAGGAGAACAACTCCAAATCACATTTGGCATTAATCTGAGGAGCCCATTGCCTGTCCAGCTGAGGAATGGGGATCTGGCAGGGCTCTCGCACCATCAGCACCTGGGGAAGGAATTTGTCTCCATCGTGTGTCCTGCATGAGCTGGGGTGGCACATGGCACCCAGGCCATGACAATTGTGTTCTCCCCTGCTGTGGCCCTGGGGCTGTGCCAGAGAACCTGAGTGATGGGAACAGACACTCCCACAATGTTTTAAAAGTTCTGGTTTTGTTTAACTTAAGAAGCTGTTTCCACAAACCCCCTTTTTCTGATTCTTCCCTTCTTATGCAGACAGAAATGTGAAAATATGTTGGATTTGTGGATGTGGGACTCCCTCAAAGCCAAAGGGGAGGTTCTCATTTAGTGAAAGGTGTATTTAAAATTTACAGTATTAAAGGCAAGCAGTAACTGTAGAGTTTAGGGACGTTAAGCTGAATATTCATCTATTTAATATGAAGTTTACATTTACTTGAGATAAAGTTCACTTAATGCAAATCACCCTACAGATCTCCTGTAGGTGTTTCCTGGCCAGTGATACAACGCAGTGTGAGCAGGCAGAACTTGATGCTTGGATAAGGCACCAGAGGGTTTTAATTCCTGATATGGCACAGAAATACCATAAACGAGGGGAGCAGCTAACTGGATTTGAGGAGGAAAAGGACATGAGATGTTTTTTTGATACAGTTGTGTCCTGTACAAATATGTAAGTTCTAACTAAATTAATCAACTTGACCTACCAGAGAACTTCAAAGAGTGGGTGTGAAAGTGGGCAGGGTCTTTTGTGAAATGTCCTGTAAACATTTATTCCAGTACATTTGGTCCTCAATTTGATGAAGAAGGGTTCATTCATCTGCAGGGAATTGCTTAATGGCCTCTGTACACCAGAACTTTTATTAATATAACAGTGTCACATTTCATTGCAAGGGCAGAGCTGCTGAGAAGCTGAGGAAGTGGCATTTTAAATAAAATTCTATTTCTATTCTAATGGCCAGGATTAAATTTTGTAGTGACTTCTCACTTATTTACATCTGCCTCAAATATCTATACCCAAATGGAGCTGTTGTAGAGCAGCTCTGTAGTTGGTTTGGCCTTTAGTGTTTACAAGACCCATGTGTCAGTGTTTTGTGTAAGTGCTCCTGGGATTTGAGGTATTTTCCTCTCCTGTGGAAAAGAATTCATAGCAGAAAAAAGATGATTTGTCTTGTTTCAGCTTGACATGTGTGGTGAATCAGACATATGTATGTTGTGTTATTTATTTATTATATAAATTAAAATTATGTCAAATATACATAATGCACATGCATATAAAATGTATGAATGTGATTATACCTAGAGATAATATTCCAGGCTTGTCTTGGGGTGAGGCCAGAGTTTTCCCTAGGCCAGCTGCTTGGAAAGCTCCTTCGTTCCCCAGCTGTTGCTCTGAGGTTTTACGTGCCCAGAGGAAACATTGTAAAAAGGAGAGTGTGTTCAGAAGCTCTTTTCTTCCTGCTCTGCCCCCTTTCTGCCCCCACTCCTCTCCCTGTTTCATTGCTGCAAGTTCACAAAGTTATTTTCCTTCATCCAGGCCACTGATGGGCAGAAAAAAACACCCAAACTTAATCCATAAGGGACTAATATTACCTGCAGCATCTTCAGCCTTCCTTGCTCTCTGTCTCAGATGGCATGGAATTAAATAGTGGCTATTAAAAATTAACAAGGGTGCACAGATGGTTATCAAGTGCTGATAATTGTGTCAGAGAGAAAATCTTCAGTATAATTTCCAGTATTTCTGTGATGTTGTGACCAAGTTTTGAATTTCCCTCAGCAGTAGAATATTTCCCTCAGCAGTAGAAGTCTGGCAAAAGCTCAAAGAATTGACAGTTTTAAAGGCTCAATTTTGCATGTGGAGCTTTTCCAATTTGCAGTAAAAGTCCAGAACACCTTCACAGGATGAATAATGGGATTGCATTTTGGGATCTCAGTGGGAAGGGTTTGTGAAGAGTTTATCATGGAAGTTTTATAGACAGTGATTAAAGAAATGATGTGAGTAGATAGATTGGAGTGTGGTAAAAAGAGCTGAGTGCTGTGACATCCACGCTGATCCAGTGTGAGGGTACAGACCCTGAACATGATAATTTAGAAGAGGATATAGCATCCTCTGCACTCAGTCTCACCACTGCAGCCACCAATTTCAGAGCAGAAATCTGTCAGGATCTGCCAGAAGATCCTCTCTGTCCCTGAGAAGCTGGGTAGTGAATCCATCTGTACTCCCAAGTGCTGATAAAGATGTAAATGCAATCCCATTATTTTCAAGTCTTTAAATGAGGAAGCACTTTGATTGCTTTAACTGCTGGAGAAGGTGGGTCTTGATCTCATCACCCATCCTTCCATTCTGTCACCTCAGAGAGTCAGGCTGACCTTGCTGTGGATAATTTGTTTAGAATCTTTTTATTCAGGTGCAATGTGGTCAAACCCCAACATGTAGAAATCTTCAGGAAAACTGTATTGAGCCTTTTTCAAAATCATGACATTGATTTAAAAAGTTGAGGTTTTGTGGGGGTTTTTTTTGGTATGGGTTTTTTTTTGCTGTTGTTTTTTTATGTCTTGTTTCTGAGTTGCACAACTTAGTTTCCTCTGCTTCAAACTAAGTAGGAAACCTCTCCTGTGGTGGAGCTGGGGCTGTGAGGCCAGGTCTCTTTCTTTTGATATGCAAAGGAAAATTGAGGAGGCAAATTTTTAGTCTTTCAACGCCCAAATTCCTTTAAGCATCTATTGCAAAGGTGAGGGTCTCCTTTCTGAGCTGACATTGCACCTCTGTACTCCAGATCATGGCTTTTTGCTGCAGATGTTTTTCAGCTCTCTGCAGCTGTCCCCAGGCAGGGGCATTTCCTCCCTCCTGAGGACAGCAGGTGATGCTGGGGTGGGAATGACAGAGACCCCACAGTGAGCAGCACTTCCCTGGGGCATTCTGACTTTTGCTTTTGAGGCTCATTTTCTCTGGGATGTGTTTTTTATTGGAGCAGAAATATGATCACAAAGCCGGGGATGAAATGATGTGGGCTGTAATTCCTAACCCAGCCGTGCCATTAACAGCAGTGTTAATTACTTCATCCTTAACCCTCTTGGAGAGAACAAAGCAGAGTTAAATGATTTGGCCCAGTGTCAAGCAGCATGTTGGGGTTTCAGAACTTCACATCTTGGATCTGAAGCAAAGGAGTTTTATTAACTGCCTTTCACCAGGCGTGTTTCAGTCAAGTGGTGCATAAATCAGCAGGGTTAGAAACCAGCCCTTCTTGCCCATGCCTTTGCACTGCTGATTATCAAAATGCTTATCCTAAATACATAAGTGGTGATCTATTAAGGGAATAAAAGCCTCGCTGAATATCATGTTTAATGAAACTAGAATGGGTGATACCAGACTTTGAACAGGCCTTTGGTACTTCAAGTCTATGCTATAATCTCTGCAAAGGCACATTTACACAAACAGAAAGTGAAAAAAAATACCTTTCTACAGAGTGCTGTCATGTGGAGGCGCTGAGGGGCTTTTATGAATTCTTTCTCAGTTTTCATTTTGAGCCTGTGATCTCTGTGCAGGCTTGGAATAACCTTCACAGGATATTTGGAAGATGGCTCCTTTTATGAAGAAAAGCTGGGCCTGGTCACATCAGGCTGATTTGCAGTGCTCACTCTTCAGGTAGAATCAGGAAGGGATGAGAGCTGATGGATCAGGCCTTGGGATGTGGAGTCAAACTAAGATTTGGAAGCTGTTATTCCCATTTCAGGCAAAAAGAGGAGGAATCAAAAGTGTGTAATTCTCCCTACAAATGTGTGTTTCTCTTGCTGTTTGCCTGGGCAGTGGGAGCCATTTTTCTGAAGTGGACTGAAAATCACTCCTCTGCATTTTGCTGTGTTGTGAGACTTGCAAATTGTGCAGTGATTAAACAAAATTATCTACTGATTGGTTAGGAAGTGCAGATTTCTCTCCACCAAATTTACACTCTTGTCCTGCTTGTATAATGAGGAAGTGGGAGAAACTCAGGAGTCTGTGGGATTTCTGGACGTGTAAAATCATTTCATGTTGTCATAAAACTGAGCACTGTAACAGTCTGGGTGTGAGATTACCCTGGAATTGTCAGTGACAATTATATCAACTTCCAGTTAATTGTATCAATATGCACCTTGTGTCCTTTGCAGAATGATGAAGTCCTCTGTCCACGCAGAAGAAGATGACTTTGTCCCAGAGCTGCAGAGGAGCATCCACCCCAGGGAGCGGCCGGACTGGGAGGAGACGCTCAGTGCCATGGTAAAGAAACACCTGGGCTGCCCCTTCTCTTCCCATCATCTCCCCTTCTGAGCACTCTGCTCCTCTAGTCCATTTGTACTCCCTGAGTTTCAGCTTTTTAAATGGATTGGACAATACTTTGAACAAGGCCAAAATGCTTTCCTTCCTCTGGCAGTTTGTCAAGGAGAGGGAAGGAGCTTTCACAATGCTTCTGCCCTATTAATACGTGCCCCAAAGCAGGTCTTGTAACCAATTAAAAGGTCCATAATGTCACAACGATTTTCAGTCTGCATTAACCTCTTTTTCAGCAAGACTTCTGAGCATGAAGGGAACTTCTTGTAAAAACGTGCTCTTTGAAGCATGCAGCATTGTGAAGGAATGAGATTTTAGCAAAATGCTGGCTAAGTCTACATAAATAAAACCTCAGCCTGAGAGCAAACGTGCCATCAGAGGGACCAGAGCTACAGAAAAGCACACACAAGGGTGCTCTTTTAATCTCAGAGAGGGCACTCAGGTGGGCAGTGGGCCAGAGACAACTGGATTGCCTTAATGTTCATGGGGGTTTTTGAAGCCACAGTTTCTTTGGGCGCCCTGTGCCAGGGCCTCAGCACCCTCACAGAGAAAAATTCCTTCCCAATATCTCATCTAACCCTTCCCTCAGCGGTGGGAAGCCGTTCCCCCTTGTCCTGTCACCCTCTGCCTGTGTAAAGTCTCTCATACACCTATTTATGAGCCCCTTCAGGCCCTGCAGGGGCTCTGAGCTCTCCCTGGAGCCTTCTCTTCTCCAGGTGAACAGCCCCAGCTCTCCCAGCCTGTGATTGTTTGCGCTTTTCACCTTGTATTTTTTTTTCCTTCCTTGTGTATGGCTGTTTTTGCCTTCTCTCCACCTTGGCCGCAGTTGGAGCACTGTCTGTTCCCATCAGTGTTGCTCAGGCAGCAGCACCTGCTGCCAGCTCAGAGCTTCCCACACTCTGGGGTCTGGTGGGAGTCACTGTGTGACACCTCACTGCTGTCTGTGACCTCCAGCTGTGTCTCAGAGCTGTCAGGCTGTAATTCAGTGTCCTCACCTGGGACACAGGTTTCCTGGCACATCTCATTAGTGTTGGTTTTTTTCTCCTGGTTGATTTGCAGTGAAGGGAATGTTCACCTGCTTGAGGCTGTTGTGCTCATGGACATTGTTCAGTGTTTATTTTACCCTGCATCATGCTCCTCTGCCCAATTAAATCACACTTTGGAACGTGCCCTCTTGCACAGCGCTGTGCCAGCAATGCCAAAACTGACTGGTCCAGTGGAGAAGAGATTTAGAGGATGATAAACAGGGAAATTCCCAGCTGGGATTGCTGCACAGTGACTTGGTGTGATGAAGGACAGTAAAGCTGCTGAACCTGTGTTTAGAGTGGCTGGATTTGTGCTCACGGTGTTGGTTTGACCTCAGGGTCCTCTGAATACAGTGTAAAGAGGGGGGAGAAAAATCTGTCTTGTTTGTGTTTACTGTGGTGAGTGAATCAAGTTTCCACTTTCCTTACCTGCAGTCAGGGGCAATATTCAGATGTAAATATTTGCAGGACCTTTTTCAGCACTGACAGAGTTCTCTGTTTAACCAGCATATCTTCAATATTCTGCCTTTTCCCTGATCATTTGAAGCCTGAGGTTTCTTCCCTCCCTCTGTTCCTTCACTTTGCATTTTTAGCAGCCTCTGCTTCAACCTTGTCCCAGAGACTGCTCTTTCCATGCTATGTGGCTGTCTCGCAGTGCCACAGTACATCTCATTTTTGGTTAGTGGTTGTTGAAGATGCAAATTTTAGGTTTTGTTGCTGCTTGAAGCCCCAGCCCCCAGGGAATGGAGGATGCAGGGTTGGAAAAGTTGTTCCCTTCATTGGTTCCCGTGGCTGGAGCCCTGACAGGCGCCAGGCTTTGTCACCTCACATGAATTCACCTTCTCCCAGGTGAGTAAAGGCTGGGACAAGGGACACTGGAGAGCTGGGGAAGTCCTGGCACTTGTCTCCTGAGCTTTGCCTTGGAACATGCTTTTATTAAAAAAAGTCAATTGATGCATTCACAGCTACATGAACAAGTCGTCCCTACTCTTCCTTCCCTGTTTTATCCATAATACTTTTCAAAGGGCTTATTATTAATTTATAGAAGTGCTTTGTTTCCAGAGCTTTTTCTTAATAAGAAATAAACTGAAGGTCTTCCTAAATGTGTGGAGGTTGATGTCCTCCTATACTGTAAATATAAGGTGACAGAACCTCTTTATTTTTAATGTTTCTGTCATTGCCGGTTCATTTTCGGCACCTGAGTAGCTTCAGTCCTTTGTTTGATGCAACTTCTTTTGTCTTCTTTAGTTTATTATTTATACTTTCATCTGCTTTTTAGCACTGCTTGTTTTGTGTTTGTGGTTCAGCAGAAGGGCAAGTGATTCTGTGTTGGAGACCTGGTTTGTTTGGGGGGAATCCTAAAACTGGGAAATGGTTTGGGTTGGAAGAGACTTTAAAGCTCATCCAGTTCCACCTCCTGCCATGGGCAAGGACAGCTTCCACTGCCCCAGGCTGCTCTAAGTCCCTCCAGCCTGGCCTTGGGTCCTGCCAGGGATCCAGGGACATCTCTCCCTCAGTATTTCTGGTGCAGTTCTGTGTTGTAGGTGAGGTGCAGGCTGAAGGAGAGGCAGCCCTGCTGGACAGAGTTCCCAGGAGCTGGGTAATGAGGCAGCTGCCTGGAGCTCCTCAAGCATTGCCATATTTTGTATTCCCCCCCGACTCATGCCCTGTATTTTTAGACTTTAGGTGTATTAGACACATTTTTTGTGTCTCAGCCCCCAATTCCCACTGTGCTGCACCTGCTGGGTAACCTTCACACATCCTGGGATTTCTGCCTCTGCTCCACTTCAGAAAGTGCAGTTGATAATATTGACTTTCTTCATAGAACACTTCTGAGTTCTGGAGCTGCAAAGCCCCGAGTGAGCCAAGGAAAATTGCAGTTTATGGATTTTCTAACATTTCTCCAAGACAGTAATGTTATTTTAAAGGAAAGGGGTATCTTTTTCTTGTCAGGCCCTGCTGAGTGCTCTGTTTCTGAGTTGCAAGAAATGAAGTTGTGAAAGAGCCTTTATATAATATATCTCACATGAGCCTACAAAACAGCTGTCCTCAGCCTGCATTAACTTTAGCATAAATTGATGCTTGTGCTTAATATTACATTTACCACATGTTGCTGACCTCCTGAGTTCCTCCTTTCTCTTCTTCATGAGTTCAGGGAGTTGCACTGTTTGAAAGCACTGAGCCCATGGCTCTCCCCCCATCAGGCTGCTGTGCTTACTGACCCTCTGGTCCTGCCTTGTCTGAATTTTGTTGTGAAGCAGCATTAAGATGCTGAGATAAACACAGAAATCTTCATTTATGCACCCATTGCAAATGTGCTTACAGAGAGGTGCCACGTGAGCTGCATTCACCTGACACTGGAGATCAGGGGAATGCACTCAAAAAAGGACCTGGAGCTGCTGGGGCAAGTCCAGAAAAGCCATGGGGCTGCTCCAGGGCTGGAGCCAGGCTGGGAGAGCTGGGGGTGCTCACCTGGAGAGGAGAAGGCTCCAGGGAGAGCTCAGAGCCCCTGGCAGGGCCTGAAGGGGCTCCAGGAGAGCTGGAGAGGGACTGGGGACAAGGGATGGAGGGACAGGACACAGGGAATGGCTCCCACTGCCAGAGGGCAGCAATGGATGGGATATTGGGAATTGGGAATTGTTCCCTGTGAGGGTGGGCAGGCCCTGGCACAGGGTGCCCAGAGCAGCTGTGGCTGCCCCTGGATCCCTGGCTGTGCCCAAGGCCAGGCTGGATGGGGCTGGAGCAGCCTGGGACAGGGGAAGGTGTCCCTGCCATGGCAGGGCTGGCACTGAATGAGCTTTAAGATCCCTTCCAACTTTCTGTGATTCTCTGCATGCTTCTGAAGAAGTCACTTTTCCTGCACTTTTTCAATTCCTTGAGCTTTGGAAACCTTCAGAATATGAGAATATGATTGTCCAAGCGCATGGAAGGATTTTTGTCCCCCTGGTGCACCTCTGGCTGGGATCTCGCCTTGTCTGGGAGTTTTGCTGTCCATAACAAGAGGTGACAGCTGGGGTCAGGTGTGGAATCAGGGTGCTTAGAAAAGGGGAGTCTCTGAATTAATGTAGAAGACTCCGTGAATTTGACAAGTGCACAAGAAGGCAGCAGCTGCAGTTGGTACCCATCATTTTAGGCTTTTGCTGTTGGAATTCCCTTAGGAGAAATGCAAGCTTATAAATACTTTAGAATGGCACAGGGCTAGAGCCTGTCCTATGAAGCCCCTGGAATAATCTTAGCTCTTAGGTCACAGGGGTTCTGAGATCTGTAGTATTTTCAGCATTTGATGCCAGATAGGGAAGGTTCTGTGGCTTATGAAGGTAATAAAGGCTTTTTAATGAGACCTCGATATATCACTGTTAAATCTGGGACATGAGTGAGGAGAAAACTATTTTTAAATGCAATTATGAATGTGTGCAGGGATTAGTGCATTATGAGGGTTTAAAGAAAGATTTTTATGTCCTTAGTGTTTGTTTCTCATTCTTTGTACATCACTTGGCCAGTGCTGCCCCAGGTCTTGAGTAGGGCTTCTGCAAGAATAGATGCCAAAAATAGAATATATGGGGCTTCTTTTTTAATTAGTGTTGGTTCATTGGTTGGTTTTTAATTCACAGAAATCAGGCCTGTTTCTGATGCAGACTAACCTCCAGGAATTGTGGAAAAATCTGCATAAAAAGGGGATGTGGTAAATCCATTTGCTTGGCCCTGTAAGCTATAGTGATTTCCCAGCAGTGGTTTACTGAAATGATCTCATTTTAGTTTCTCAGATATGTAGATATAATACCTTTGAACATGTTAAAATTGATATTTTGGAATTTTTTTCCCTGTGTCTCTTAATGCTTTGTATGTGTGTGAACCCACAGCAGAATTTTACAGCTGAGGATATGGCTGGGAGCTCTGAAGTCACTGACAGAGTTTTGTCAGGCT